ACGCCAAGTTATTAAAGGCTATCAAATAGCGATGCAGTCAGCAACAATACTTGCAGAGGAGAATAAGAAGCTACGTATACAAGTCCAGCGTCAACGAAAAAGCAGAGTCAGCAGCGTCAATATATTGCTTCTGGTGGAGTACTCCAGGTCCAACAGGGTCAGCAGATAGCTGCAGAGGCAGAAAGGATGGTGATGGAGGCTAGCCAGAGCCAGGCTGGTGAGCGACGTCAGCGCGCACCGCCGACGTGTACGAAGTGCCACGTTCAAGGGCATACTCGGATCTCATGTAAATCTATATAGAGAATAATATCTCTTAATTTTATTCTATTTTATTGCGTTATTGTAGAGCAATTGCGCAGAGCGTCGGGTTAGGTTGGGCGGGGTGCCCAGCTTACTGATCTGCCCAGCTTACTGATCCCGCACGTTAACGTGCGGGATCAGTAAGCTGGCCGGAACAGTAAGCTGGCCGCCCCACCAAACTTAACGCGACGCTCTACACAACAACTATAATGCCGCGACAACAACGTTCTATACAGACTTCTCGTGAAGGTAGAATAAGTCTTGCTATAGCGTCCTATCATAATAATCTAAAACAATCTATCTACTCTCTCGCGAAAGCGTACGACGTGCCAAAATCGACGCTCTAGACACGCCTCCGCGGTATCCAGCCACGATCAGAGGTTCCGTCTACTAGGCGTAAGCTATCACCTGTCGAGGAGCAGTCTCTTATTCAGTGGATTCTAGAGCTAGACCGACGAGGCTTTCCACCCCATATCATTAACGTGCGACGAATGGCAGACGCGTTACTCGCTGCGCGTAGCCAAGATCCACCTCCACAACCTATAGGCAAGAAATAAGTGTTACGCTTTATCCAGAGCCAGCCAGAGCTTCAGACAAAGTGGAGTAGGCGACTTAATAGCCAGCGTGCCTCCTGCGAGGATCCTGTCGCAATCGCAGCCTAGTTTAAGCTAGTAGAGAAGACGCGCCAGGCGTACGGTATCCTAGATCAAGATATCTACAACTTTAATGAGACTGGCTTCGCGATAGGCGTCGCTAGCACGTCTAAGGTAGTTACTAGCTCTGATAGAGTTAGTCGCGCAGTTATCGTACAGCCAGGCAATCGCGAGTAGGTAACAGCTATCAAGTGTATTAATGCATCTGGCTGGTGTCTTCCACCCTTCGTAATTCTATCTAGTAAGGTCCACCAGAATATTTAGTATCGTAACCTCCCACTAGACTAGACTATCGGCGTCTCAGACAACGGCTGGATGACAGACGAGCTAAGTATAGAGTGGGTGAAGCACTTCAACCAGTATACAGCCGCTCGTACGGCTAGAGTCTATCGTCTTCTTATCCTAGACGGCTATAGTAGCCACGCTACGCTAGAGTTCAACCAGTACTGCACAGAGAATAAGATTATCACTCTCTATATGCCGCCTCACACGTCGCACCTCTTCCAGCCTCTAGACGTAAGCTGCTACTCCCCTCTCAAGCGCGCGTACGGACGCGAGGTTGAGGAGCTCGCCCGCCATGGCGTCTACTATATTAACAAAACAGACTTTCTTATAGCCTATACACGGATCCGGCCGACTATATTCACGCAGCAGAATATCTAGGTAGGCTTCCAGGCGACAGGCCTTATCCCTTCTTGTCCAGATCGCATTCTATTATCGCTAACTATCGTCCGAACACCGTCTCCATTACAGACTACTGTAGATAACAACATTACAGCGCAGATAGTAGCGCAGATAGAGACACTATATATAGTAGCAGAGGTTTAGCAGCAGCTACGCTATCTCTAAGAGCGACTATAGCGGCAGCTAGAGAGCCTAATAAGCGTCGCGATACGCCAGCTTGCGAAAAGCGCTCAGCTTGCGATGTAATTAGCAACAATACTTATAGAGGAGAATAAGAAGCTACGTGTAGAAAACTAACGTTAACGACAGAAGCAGAGTTAGCAGCGTCAATATATAGCTTCTAGTAGAGTCCTCCAGGTGCAGTAGGCTCAGCAGCTTACTATAGAGGCAGAAAGGGTGGTCATGGAGGCTAGCTAGAGCTAGGCGGGTGAGAGACGCCAGCGCGCGCCGCCAACGTGCACGAAGTGCCACACTTAAGGTTATAAACGGACTTAATGTAGACTAGAACAGACTATCTTAGAATAAAATATAATTATATTATCTCTCATTGTTGTGGCTCAATTGTGCAGAACGTCGCGTTGAGTTTGGTAGGGCGGCCAGCTTACTGTTCCGGCCAGCTTACTGATCCCGCATGTTAGCGTTTAAGATAGCCTTTAATTAATTCTTTATACTAACTAATATCTACTTAGCCTTTTAAGGCGCAGGTATTATTTCTTTTTAGCTAGACGCTATTCTATTAAAGCTAGACGTACAGCTATATACGCCTACTTTACTAGCTATTCTAGTAGAGGCTCTCTAGTAGGCTCGTACGCCTAGTAACACACGCGAGCTTAAAGCTTAATTAATATTAATACGTAATCGCGTTTAGCAGTATTAAGACTTATCGCTAGCTTTAATTATTACAGTAATTAACTAGCTTAAGAAGGGGGTAGAAGTAATAATACTCTCAGCTAAGCTAATACGCGATCGAATTACTACTCTTAAGAGAGCTAATATAGCAGTATTAGAGCGTTAATAGTATAAGAAAAAGCGGATATAAAAGCGAGGAGTTCTTACGAAGGGAGCTAAAGAGAATATACTCACTTAACGCGAGGCTAATAAGTAGATTACTTATAAAGAGTATTAGGGTAGAAAGTGATTAGGTATTAGCCACTAGGCTATAACGCGCTATAGTAGATATAAAGAGACTAGCTATAACTTACGTATATATAAGAAAGATACTCTAGATACTAATTAATCTACTATATTAATATTTATTAAAATTATTAATATATAGTAGAGCTATACGCTTGTAGAGGTATACAGAGTTAGTAGGGTACGCCGCTCGCTTACCTGCGCCGCTCGCTTGCTATATACGTTATATTATATTTATTCTTTTAGTAGTCTACGTATTTAGTAATATAGAATGTAACTTTATCCTTTATTTCTTTCAATTAGTAGTTACGCTAGATTAGTTCTATAGTTCTAGTAATTCCTAGGTGTCTATACACGGGATTATTATAATATTCTTTAATAATAGTTTATTATACTTCTTTAGGTACGTTATTCTCTATCTTTATAATAATATTAGGTTTATATACAGGTCTTAGGGATCCGTCTTCGTTAGTTTTAAGTATAGGTCTATTAACTATTATCTTAATTCCTATAATGTCGTGTTATTAACTAAGAGTATTAGCTCTTTTATTTTCTTTTCTTAGTATATAGATAATCTTAAACTTATATTATCTTAGTAGTTTGGCCTATCTTATTTATCTTTAATTAAGTACCTTTATTATTATAAAGTATACTAGGTTCTTATAGTCTATATAGACTATAAGTTCTAAATAGCTTTCTATATATACTCTCTAGTAGCGTAAGTATTCTATAATAGCTAGAAGTTCTTTATTATGTATATTATATCTTTTTTCTACTCCTAAGAACTTTCTTAAGTAGTATACTACTAGGTGCTATTTTTCGTTAATAAGTATACTAGCGTAGCCTTCTAATATAAGGTTTAATGCGTCTGTTTCGATCTTTATAGGTATACCTAAAGTAAATATCTTAAAATATAGTAGTATAATGTACGTGGTCTTAAGCTTATTAAAGGCTTCTTTTACTTTCTTACTCTATATAAATAGCGTATCCTTCTATATAAGTTGTGTTATTAGTATTGTGATTTTTAAGAAATCTTTAATAAATTAGCGATTAAAGTTTACGAATCCTAGAAATAACTGGATTTCTATAACTATAGTTAGTGTTAGCTAATCTTTAATAACTTAGATTTTTTCTTCGCTTATTTATACTCTATTAACTTCTATTATATAGCCTAAGAAGTTAACCTTATTTTTATAGAATTTATACTTCTTTAGCTTAAGTCTAAGGCTATATTTATCTAGTTTCTTAAGTACTATCTTTATATATAAGATGTAGTCTTCCTTATTTTCTAAGTAGATAAGAATGTCGTTTAGGTAGGCGATAATAAATATATCTAAATATAGCTAAAGTACGTTATTGATAAGTTCCTAGAATATTACTAGGGCGTTTATAAGTCTAAATAGTATAACCTTATACTTATAATGTCTATATTAAGTTTTAAAAGCTATTTTCTATTCTTCGCTCTGCTTTACTCTAATAAGATAGTATCTATCTTAGAGATCTAGTACTATAAAGATTTTCGTATAGGATAATTAATCTCTAAGCTCTATAATATTAGATAGTAGGTAATAATTTTTTACTATAATATTGTTGAGTCGCTAGTAATTAATATATAGTTAATCTATTCTATTCTTCTTTAGTATAAATATAATTAGATATCCTACAGGTAACTTTAATAGTCGGATGTATTCTTTAGCGAGACTCTTATCTATATACTCTCTTAGTACTTTAAGTTCTCTTTCTAATAATTAATATATTTGTCTAAAAGTTAGTATCTTTCCTTTCTATAGGACTATCTCGTAGTCTTAGGGTTTATATTTTAGTAATACTATTTTATCTACCGCGTTCTAAAATAGATACTTATATTCTTTATATTCTTTAGGGAATTCTAGAGTTATACTATTCTCTCTTCCTCTTACCTTTTAATCTATTAGGCTAATTTTAGTATCTACGGAGTATAGCTTCCTACTAAGAGAACTACTATTTAAGTATACTTTCTTCTTAGTATTATTGCATTATTTAGTAACGTTACTTTTATCTACTATTAAACTCTACTAATACGTAGGCTAGCTTATGAGTGCGTTTATTCTATAGCACTTAAATTAAAATACCTTTAATTTCTAGTTAATCTATAGGTTGTATTTCCTAAGCTATAGGAGTCTTAAAATAATGTCGTAGGTAGCTAGTCTAATAACGTCTAGGTCTATCTTCTTTATATACTCCTAGATGCTAAGTATTACTTATCTAACCTTATATGTAATATTACTTTCTTTTAGTATTAGTTCGCTGTTAGCTACGTATAGTAGGTATAGCTATTATTTCTATTATTTCTTAAGTCTAGCTTAGTCTACTACGTACGCTAAAATATAGTTCGCCTGTAATTCTAAGTCTACTAGTGCCTATATTCATCTTCTATTAAGCTTTACTAATAGTTTAATAAGTTCTAGAGGTTCTAGTACGTTAATTTCCTTAAAGAGGCCTTATAGCCCTATCGTTAGCCTAAAAAAGACTACTCTTATTAGTATCCGTAGTAGTCTTTAGCTACTATATGCTTTTCGCATTTCTTACTAAGGTATATATACTATTAGTCTTCCCTATATTCTAATAAGAGGCTGTCTAGATACTACACTTCATGTGTAGTCTATATCTAAATAATACTTTAAAAGTCTATTTTACTAGGAAAGTGCATTTTCTTATACTTATCCTATAAATATACTAGGCAGCTATTACTCTTATATTCGTACTATAGCTATTTATACTTAAGTATACCCTTAACGTACTATAGGCTCTATTTAGCTCCTCTCTTATTTAAGTAGTAAGTAGAGCAGTAGTTATGCGTACACGCGATCTATAATATACTTACGTAGTACTTATTTCTTACGTTAAACTAGTACTATATAGGTTTACAGAAGTTATTCCGTTCTTACGTTTTCTATACTTATATTACCCCTTAGAGCGTAAGTCTTTATTCTAGCCTTTTAATATTTACTATAATATGTGCGTATATAGGTAGGTACTATATTATTGTAATTTAGTAAAAGTTAATATCTAAGCGTAGGTACTATAGCTGTTAGTATATATCTAGTAACACTTTATCGCTATTATTCTTATAAGCGTAGGTCTTACTTAAGCGGCTAAGTAGTATAAATAGTACGTTAATCTACTTCTATACTTCTACTAGGTTATCTTATTAGGTCTTAGATAATTCTAGTATTACGCTATCTTACCTCTTTTTATAGGGCGTAGATAGCCTATTTTTCTCTTAGAATTATACTATCTTTTTATATTTAGACGTAAGGAGTTATTCTATCTTTAACGTCTCGTATTTCTTCTTACTCACTAGTTTAGCTTTAGATATATCTTTAGACGTAGTTAGAGTTAGCTTATCTAATCTACTAATAACTTCTATATTATCTAGGTAGTATATAATATCTAGCTAGGTAATAACGTTCTACAACTCGTTGTCATCTAATTTTAAATTCTAGTGTAGAACGTTAAGCTGTTGTTTAACTTTATTCTTACTCTAATAGTTATGTACTATATAGCCTTCTTTACTATATACGTATTAATTAATCTTTTTCTTATTATCCTTATCTTTTTTATAATAGAGTTTACTAGGTCCTTTTCTCTTATATAAGTTATTAAGGTGTATAAATTCGTACCTATTAGTTATATATACGCTAGGTATCCTAGGCTAATAGCTTCTCTATCGCCTCTAGTTAAGCTATAAACGCTGGTGGTACTGTTATCGTAGCTAGTCGTTCTTATTATTGTAGTTTTACGTTCTCTAATTAAATAGTTATTCTTCTAGTGCGAGCTAATAGAGTTCGTTATTAAGCCTAATAGCTTCTTCTATAAGTTTATTAAGGTTAGTAATATTAGCTCTACTTCTTATAAGTTCTCTGCGCACTATAGGTTTTAGGCCTTAGCGATATATACGTATAAGAGTGTTATTATCCTATTTAATATACGTGGTATACTGCTAAAATTAAGTAATATAATTAGTAGTAGATCTAGTTTAGCGTAGGGTCTAGATTTTCTATTCCGCGATTACAGATTCTTTAATAGGTAAGAAGTTTTATTATATTTTAGCCTTAAAAGCCTCCTAGTCTTTAACTAGAGCGGTATTATCAGCATTAATAATAGATTTATCTATATAACGTTTAATAATAGGGTTAGACTATTTTTCTAAATTATCTTAATAGTACCTAGTAGCTAAGACAACCTTATTATTATCTTTAATCTTATCTCCAGCTAAGTAGAAGTAATAGTCGACCTAGAGAAGCTAGGCTTTAAGCTTATTATAATTACTATAGTAAAGGTTAGGCTTATAGGCGTTAATCGTAGTTCCTTTAGTCTATGAAGCGGTTAGAGTATTTATTATAATATTGCTTATTATAAGAGTATTTAAAGTATTAAGAGTATAGCTTAAGTAGAAGTAATATTAGACTTCTAGTATTAAGCTTCTTATTAGTTAGTTGTCGCAGATAGAGAGATAGTATACGCTAGATAGTAACTTAGGTAAGTATAATATTATATTATACTTATACTCGTAACTTAAGTTAAATATATTAAGCTACAGTACTAAGCCAAAAGTTTCGCCACGCTAGCTGAATCTCCGCCCCCACCCAAATCCGACTAATATACTGCAACTACTAATATCTCTACTAAAATAATATAAAATTAGAAGCTAAAAAAGAATTATATTCTCTATATACTAGTACTTTATTTAATAGCCTCGCGCCTTACGATAGGCCGTAAGGCGGCGTGGTATAGAGCCGATTTGTCCTAGAATTGTCTTATTTAGTATTTTACTCTAGCACTCTTTAAAAGCTTTATAAAACCTATACTACTTAGCTTAAGCTTTACTATAATTTTAGTACTATAAATAGTTTTAATACATACTGTTTTTAAGTACCCACCAGAGGTATTTAATAGGGTTAAGATCCGGGGAGTTAGCTAGCCAATCTAGTATTCTAATATAGTAATCGTAAAGAAAGTTTTAAATAATAGTAGCCGTATAGATACGCGCGTTATCCTGTATAAAGGTCTGATCTAGATAGTAGTAAGAGAGTAATCTCTAACGAAGGGTTTAGATATAACTTTAGCTAGTATACCCACTACGTAGAGTATTTATATCCCTTTCTATAATCACAAGTAGACTACGATAAGATCGTCCACGACGACTAAGCTATATAGCTCCCCACACTATCTGCCTTAGGCCCTATACAGGGCAAACCTCTATTATTATATCCTACTTCCATTTCTTATCTAGATATCGAAAACACCACTTCTATTAAGCACTAGAACTCTTCTAAACTAAGCACTCGTCTAAGAAGATTATAGTACGGCGATACTAAGGAAACTATTAGTACCTACACGCGAATTTATAGCGCTTACGGGCATAGATACTAGTTAGTTTTAGGCGGCCTTTACAGTAATATTTACGTATATTAAAGCTTTAGAGAACCTAGTATAATATATAGCCGCTAAGAGGCTTCGAAGACGTACCATTAGAGTGTACAAAGACTACTTTTTTAATAAGATCTTTATATATAATCTTAGGCGATTTTCGTATATACTAAAGTATAATCTTCTTCTAATAGTTCGAAAGTATCAGCAGACGTCCAGAGCGAGGCCTATCACGCGTAGTGTAGGTGGTGTTATACTTTTAATAGAGGCGTTAGATCGTGGACACGTCGCGGTAAAATACCACCGCTACTTCTTTATCAGTTGCGCCCGCCTACAACATCCTAATCGCGATATTACGCTCGTCTAAAGTCATATTTAGACCGCGCGGTATCTTTTACCGTACCGTACGGCCGAATTAGAGTAATACAGCGTGGGCGGCGCGCGTTCAAAGTAGTAGTAGAGGTGAGGGAAAGTAGAGTGGTTAGAGCTAGCAAGGCGAAACTTTTAGCGCATAGCTGTATAAGAGCTTAGTACCTAATACTATATACTTACGTAGTCCTAGTGTCCTAGTAGTTCTAGTAGTAGTAAGGGGCTATAGAACTACGGGGATCGGTAGGACTAGTTACGTAGTTCTAGTAAGTCCTAGTATATAAAGTATACTAAGACTAAGTAGGATCTGTATAACTTGTTACGTAATTCCTTTTCTTACTATATTCCCGCTATCTCGTAGATTACTCGTTAAATAAACGTAACAGTAAAATGTTCTCTATATTCTAAGGCTGGTCGTAATAAGAAAATAATTAAGCTACTTAGATTATACTGTATAACTAGTAATAAGTAGACAGAGAGCTAAGCCGCATTCTATAATCTACTTCTAAAAGATAGAGAGCTATTTTTAGAGTTTAAAGCTTATTTTATTAATCTCGCTATTAAAGAATATATATTAGAACTAGAGTGGCCTTTCTATCTCTAGTAGAAGATTAGCCTAGCTCTATAGGTTTCTAATATAGCTGTTAAGCGTTTCTTTAATAGCTCCTTTAATAAGATGTATAAACATCTTACTACTTTTAAATTAGAATAATAATTAGCTCCTATCGTAGTATAATTAGAGCGATAGACTACCTATACTTTAACTACAAAACCTAAGTTAGCTATCTATTAGATAAGAGAGTATTACCTACCTACGTATAAAGTAAGGTCCAACTCCGCTCTAACTCTACCTTAGGCCTTCTTAAGTGTACCTAAGCTTACCTCTAAGGTACTAGTACTAGAACGCTAAGCTACTTCTAGTAACTACTACTACTATAGTAAGCCTAGACACTTTATAAGTGACTGTATAGTCTCTTAAGTAAAAGTGATAGAAGCTATTTAAAAAGAAGATATATTTAAGAAAGCCGTAGAATACTAGTTAGATAAGAACTAGTTAGGAAATAGCGAAGCCTAGAAAAACGCTCTACTCTAGGCATTTATAAGTATAACCTTACTAAGATTAATCTATTATACTTATTTAAAGGAAAGTACTTCTAAGTTCCTACCGTTCTTTATTCGAAGGGCTATAGTATTAACCTATAGTTACTAGTTAATACTAGCGCCTAAGGTTTCTTATTTCTAAATTCTATAATTGCTTATATAATCTCTAGTTTGCTCTAGGTTTCTATCTAAAGACTACTCTTTAAGATTAGGTTTAGATAAGAGTTAACTAATATATCTAGTTGTACCTCTTTATTAATAGCTGTAAGATCTATAACTATCTATTTATTATTATAGATTTAGAATTCTAGGATTATATTATTAGTATTAAGTAGCTACGCTGATTCTAGCTTTAATGAGATACAGTTTGGAACTAAATTATATAGCTAGCTAAGTACTTAGTAACTTATAACTTTACCCTACTTATTCTAGTATAGTTAAAATAACTAGCTGTTAATACTAAGGTTGCGAAGAATATTAAGAGACGTAACGCTCTCTAGGAGAAGAACGACTATTAGAGAAGAAATAGTCTAACTATAACTAGTATTTAACGGATCCGTAGCCTTCTTTAACTTCTTAAAGCCTATTCTCTACCTCTAGTACCCAACTTTACTCTAAAACCTATCTAATCTGTACTCTCTTCCTCTTCTTTACCCTATATTTTACTTATCTCTACTAACGCCTTCTACTACACTATAAAACGTAAGGAAAATAAGTTCTTTATAATAAGTATCTATAAGATTAATTGTATTCCAGAAGAGAAATGACTAAAGGATAATCCTAAAAATACTAAGTTAGTGTAGGACTAACTCCTATCTATCTACTACTCGTACTAAGACGTATTTAGTAAAACTACTACTAATTAGCTACCTAAATACTGCCTATATAACTATAAGATCGTTCTTACTAAACTTCTACTAAATTAGTTTAGTCCTCTATATAAGTAGAGTACTAAAGAGCTTTAAGCGACTATGGCGTTTATTATAGAGAACCTTTAGAAGGGATACTTTTTCTTAAGCTATAGCCCTTCTATCTCCCTAGTCTTATATATTTAGAAGCTAGATAGAGACCTACGTATTTACGTAGATTACTATAAACTTAATACTGTTATACGTAAGAATACGTATCTAATCCCGCGTATTAATAAGCTACTTACTTATCCTTATAAGGCTAAGATCTTTACTAAGCTTAATATACGTGCGGCTTTTAATAAGATCTAAATTGACTCTAACTCTAAAGAATATACTATATTCTATATATATTATAGAACGTATAAGACTAAGATATTACTCTTTAGGCTATATAATAGTCTAGTAACCTATGAGCGATATATAAATAATATACTCATTAATTATCTAGATAACTTCCATATCGTCTACTTAGATAATATTTTTATCTACTCTAAGTTAGAGGCGGAATATATCTAATATATATATAAGGTACTAGAAAGGCTATAGTAAGTAGAACTCTAAGTTAATATTAAGAAGAGTGAATTTTATATTACTTAGATAAAGTACTTAGAGTATATTCTTACTAATAAAGGACTAGAGGTAGATTCTAATAAGGTAGAAGCTCTCTATAACTAGGTTTAACCTACTACTATTACTAGTATAAAGTTATTTCTAGGCTTTATAGAATTCTATTAGTAATTCGTTCTAGAATACTTATAAGTTACTAAGTTAAGTATTATACTCTAGAGCCCCGCGAAGCCCTTTATATAGGATTTAGACTACAATTATACCTTTAAGAGAATAAAAATAGTCTTACTAGTAATCTCTACCTTATATTACTACTACCTAGAGTATAATACTAAGGTAGAGATAGATATATCTAATAGTGTTATAGCTAGAATACTATCTTAGAACTAACTAAATAGCTTATAGTGCCTAGTAGCTTTCTTTAGTAAGATTCTATCTAGATTAGAGCTAAACTAGGAGATATATAATAAAGAGTTATATGCTATTATTATAGTATTTAATAAGTAGAGATCTAAGTTAGCCTTAGCACACTCTTAAGTCTAAGTATACTTTAACTACTACTCTCTAAAATACTTTATAACTACTAAGGTTCTAAACGCCTAATAAATAAGATAGGCTAAATAGCTCGCCTTATTTAACTTCTATATCTAATATACGCCTAGTAAGGATAATATATACGCTAATATCCTTAGCTATGATAAATAGAATCTATAGAACTTAAGGAATACCTAAATTAATAACTATTTGCGGGTTCTCTTAGGACTATACTAACTTAATAACTAAATTAACTCTAAACTCGCTAAGGTATATATAGAATAACTATCTAAGTAGGCTACCTTACTACTAGTAGTTAAGCCTACTTAGGAGACTATATCCCTAGACTCTCTTAAGCTAATTAAGCTTCTATTATAGTAAAACTGCGCATTATTTAAGAAAGAGTGCTATACTCTCTCTAATAAGTATTAGATAGAAAATAGACTATTACTCTACTTAAACCGTCTCTGCGTATAGCTAGACTCTACTATATATACATAACTAATCTAAGAGGCCTATAATTAAGTCTTATTAGCCTACCTAAGTATAAAGAAGACTTATTAGCTGCTATCTTAGAAATATTATTAGAAAGGTATAGAAGCTACCTATAAGAGATACGTACAGAACTACTTAGCTTACTATAAAGCCTATCTAAGATAGACCTAAGTTCTAGAACTAATTTACCCCCTTCTAATTCTTAACTAGCTAATATAACACCTCTATATTAACTTTAAAGAATTCCCTAAAGATAAGGCTAGATATAATTAGATTATAGTTATAATTAACTAGTTATCTAAATAAGCTATCTCTATCCTATATTATAAGATAATTAACGTAAGAGGTATTGCTATACTCTTTATCTAGTAGGTATACTAATTTAGATATACCCTAGAAATAATTATCTCTAATTAAGGACTATAGTTCGTATCTAGTTTCTAGTCTAAGTTCTATTAGATTCTAGGCGTTAAGGTTAAGCTATCTACTACCTATTATAAGGAAACTAATAGTTAAATAGAGATTATAAATAAGTATATTAATTAGAAACTACGTCTGTTTATAACCTACTACTAGGATAACTAGAGTAAGCTGCTACCTCTAATTAATTATACTTAAATTTCCCTATCTTACTCTTCTATTAGTATATCTCTATACTAGATCCTTTATAAATCCGTACCTAAGTAAAGCTAGGACTAGTAGCATCTAACTAGTATTCTTACCCCTACTAAGAAACTTAATTATAAGAATGCTCTAGCGCTTACTACCTACATATATGCTATATAGAATACCGCTAAGTAGTAGATAGAGAAGGCCTAGAACTAAATACGATCCGCCGTTAACTACTATTATCGCTCTATTTATTAGAATATTAGCAATATAGTATTCTTAAATACTAATAACCTAGTAATTAACTATCTAAGTCGTAAGCTAGCCGCTAAGTAAGAGAGTCCCTTTAAGATTCTAGAGAAAGTTAGCTACTTATATTAACTTTAACTACTAGTAGACTCCTATATCTATAACGTATTTACTCTAGACCTACTATATAAGAACCCCTAAGACTCTCTTCTAGGATAAGAGGCTTCTAAGCCTCCTAGTAAGCCTATCTAAGGTATAGAAGAGTAGAAAGTAGATTAGATTCTTACTAGTAAGTTATATCGTACTAAGTTAAAGTATTAGATAAGCTAGATCGGACATAATCTAGATCTTACTTAGTATCCTACCTCTTACTTTATAGGAGCTCCTTATAAGCTTAGAGAGTTTTATAAATAAAACCTATTAAAGCTAGAACCTCCTTAGGCTCTTAGCTAGTAGATTTAAGCTTAGAAGAAAGGTATAGACGATATAACTTCGCTATAGGATAATTAAGTATAGAAAAAGAAAAAAAAGTAGGTATAGAATAAGCTAAAAGTTACCTAAAATAGTCTCTCGCGCTAGCGTAGAGGAACTATAATAGAGAGATATAAGAATAGTCTTATAGCTATAGAACTAGCTATCTACTAAGAGAGAGATAGTATAACGATATTACAACTTCGCTATATATTAGACTAATTCTAGAGCTAGATTAAAGATAGTATTTACCGCCCTCTTTATTAACCACTTATTATAAGGTTGAATCCGATTTAGATCTAATTAAGATTAGTATATAAGAAGATACTCTCTGTAGCTAGCTCTATAGACTTATAATATCCTTTCATATAAGGCCTATAGGTGTCTATTCGAATTAAGGCTCGTTTAATATCCCACGCACTTCTATATACCTCTAAGTAACACTACCGCCAATACTAATCTAAGTAGTGTTACCTACGCTATTATAAGGCTAGTAAGCTTTACGTTAGTATTCTATAAAAGTTATCTAGCGAGATAATAGAGTAGCGTACTTAGTAAGAAGAGATAACAGGTTCGATAACTATTAATCTTTTAGATAGACTAATAGGTATTAATCTTATTAAGTAAGTAACTAGTAAGAAAGTATAATTTAAGTTAATGTTGCACGGGGTTTAGATCTATACTTCTCTATTCTAGTCCGCACTAAGGCAGGTAAGTATTACGTTAGTATTCCGTGAGGCTTATCTAGTGATATAGTAGAGTTAGTATACTTAAGAAGAGTTTTAATAAGACTACTCTATTTAATAGACTAACTTGTAATCATCTTATTAAGTAAATTTACTAGTAAGATAGTATAATTTAAGTTAACAATAACGAGAGTAAATAATAAAATGTATCTATCCTTATATCCTTATTACTTTCTATCCTAATATCTAGCTAAACCCTTAATATCTCTAATATCACTAGTATCCTTAGATATCCTAGCATCTTCTAAGAGTCTAGTATCTCTAGATGTCCTATCTTAGCGAGATGCTAAGTCACGTGATTAGCGCCCTGCGTTAATTATTACCTTTTAACGTAGACGTCTATAGGCCTTTCACTATCTTATTATTTATTAAGAAGAGAATCCTTCTTATTACTTATAACATTACCTTCTCTCTTAGAGCTATCGTCTTAATACCTTAGAATATTATTTTTCTATACTGCGTATTAAGACGCTAGCTATATATAAGTTTAGAGCCCATCTACTTATTATAGCCGTCTCTACTTTATAGCCTTCTTAACTATACTTAAGATATAAAAACTCTATACTCTACGTCTTTAAACTTTAACTAAGTAGAAGCGTTTCTAGGCCGCCTACGTAGAGTATAAGAGCCTTAAAATAGAATTTTACTATAAGCGTTATAAAGAGAAGAGATTACGTTATTTTATAGAGACAAGGTCTAGTTATTATGCTAGTTATATTTCTATTAGTACTAAATATAGTCTTTTTGTTTCTAAGGAAGAGTAGAAGAAAGTTTAGAAGGAGCGTAAAGAACGAGAACTAGCTATAGCTTATCTTAAAGTATAGCTTTCTTAATAAAAGCTTAAACTTCTAGAAGTAAAGAAGTATAAACAGTCTTTTACGCGTCGCAATCTTACGATAATTACTATTTAAGACTAAGTAAAAGAGTAGACTAAGAGGAGCTTAGCCTCTAGAGGTATAGGCCTTTCTATTATTAAACTATCGCTATCTAGACTGTTAGCTAATCTAGGTAGGTTATAGGCTGATTACTATAATTCTTCTTTTAACTATTCCTTCCTCTTTAAGGGGCTTCCCCTTACTATTCTAGGTACTTCTAGTAGTATTTACGTACTAGTAACTTATAGTTTATTAGATGTTCTTTAGGTTCCTAAGTATTATAGCTCTTAGGCTATTCTTACTACTTAACTAAGTACTTCTACTAACTACTAATTCTCTATAGGTTCTTAATTTCCTTAATCTTATACTTATTATCTTTAAGCTCTATATCTATTACTAGCTTAGTATCTAGAGGTACTAGTTCTAAGAGTTTCTTATAAAAGATAAAGTAGATTTATATACCTTATAGAAGTTTTAACTTATAGTTTACTATTTCTATTTTCTCTAGGATCTTAAATAGTCCTATTTAGAGGTTATCTAATTTTTTATATAGTTATTTAGTTTTTAGGTTTTATCTTAATAGAAAAACTATATCCTCTTTCTTAAAGGTTAGTCTCATAATTCTTTATTTATTTACTACTTTAGATGTTATAAGGCTCCGTTAAGCTATATTCTTACTTAATTCTTTATATAATTTTTATATAAGCTTTACATTATTATCTACTTCTACTATAATACTTTTAATATCTTTTAGATCTTAATAAGTAGTTAGCTTATATCTATAGTTCGCGTAGTATAGCGAATACTTTAATATAACTAATTTTATACTATTATAGGCTAATTACGCTGTTAGTAGTAGTTCTATCTAGTTGTTCTATAACTTATTAGCGTATATCCATAAGTACTATTCTAATATCTAGTTCGTTCTTTCTATCTAGCCGTCGATTTTTAGGTAAAAGCTTATTAAAAGCTTCTTCTTAATACCTAACTTTACTAGGAATATATTCTAGTATTTAGACCCAAATAGTTTATTACACTTAGTAATAAACTCTTTGGATATCCCGTACTCTAATACTAGTACTTTAGTAACTTTATACGCGTATTTATCTACTATAATAGTTTCTTTTATAGGTATAAACTATACTATCTTAGTTAATTAGTCTACGATTACTAGTATTATATTATAAAATTAAGCTAATCCTAGTTCTAATAATTTCGGGAGCTTTACTATAAAGTTTATTATTATACTGATCTATAGTCTAAATAGTAGCTATAAGGGCTATAATAGGCTGTAGAGCTTATATCTCTTAAGCTTATTCTAGTAATATACTAAATAGTTACTTAGTATTTTCTATACCTTTATATGTATACGTAGTATTATAAACGCCTTAAATAGTCGTCTAACTATTTCTTTAATTCCTATATATCTATATTCTAAGAACTTATATAGTTCTTATATAAGACTTAATCTTATATATAGAGGTATGTATATTTAGTTCTTCGCGATTATATTTTAGTACTCTTATTCGTTGTTTAATAGTTTATTAGAGCTTTCTTCGTCAGGCTTAAACTATTAGCTAGCTACTTACTACTACTATTATTATTATAGTATTTCTACCTGCTCGGCCACCTTAACTACTTTAGCTAGTTCTAGCTAGTTATACTTTAGACTGCTATTAGGTATTATCTTAAGTAAGGCATTATATAGTTCTTTATAACCCTCTTCATATAAATTAGACCTTCTACTTAAAGTATCTACTACTCTATTAAGCGTCCCCGCGCGGTACGTAATTTTATAGTTAAACTAGGCTAGTATCTCTACTTAGCGTACTTATCGTTAGTTAAGCTTCTTTATTATTATAAAACTTATTAAGTTCTAGTAATTAATAAATACCTTAATATAGTTAAGGAGTACTAATAGGTACACTTTCTATTATTTAAAGGTATTAACTACTCTAAGTAGTTCCTTATCGTAAACGTCGTAATTAAGTTCTACTCTTAAGAACTTTTATACATAGTAGAATACTAGTCTCTATTTTTTATCAAGGTACTACTATAATAATATAGCTCTAAGTGTATAGTTAGACGCGTTAGTCTTAACTCTAGTAAGTTATTAAGGGCTGTATATCTTAAGTACTAGCGCCTTTAGAAATATCTGCTTAATTCGATTAAAAGCCTCTTAATATTTATATTCTTATTTAGAACTTATTGCCTTTTTTATTACTTCTATAAGAGGTGCTATAATCTTTAAGTAATCTCTAATAAACTTTTAATAATAGTTTATAAATCTTAAAATGAACTAGATATTCTTAACAATTTTAGGTTTTAGCTATTTCTATATAGTCTATATCTTCTTTAGGTTATTTTTACATCTTTAGTTAATATAATAAATCTAAGCAATTCTATTTTCTATATATAAAATTTATACTTTCCTAGTTAAAGGTATAGCTTATATTCCTTAAGCTTCTATAAGACCTTCTTAATATACTTAATATATTCTTTATATATACTACTAAAGAATACTAGTATATTATCTAAATACGTGGTAATAAAGATTCTAAGGTATTTATAGAGTGCGTTATTAATAACTAATTAAAAGGTTGCTAGCGTATTCGTTAATCTAAATAGTATAACTATATACTTAAAAAGTGTATACTTTATTTTAAACGCTATTATCTACTTATAACTCTCTCTAATCTTAATTTAGTAAAATTCTTTCTAAACGTTAAACTTTATAAACTACTTAGCTTCCTAGAGTTAATCTATAAGCTTTATAATACGTAGTAAGAGATATTAGTTCTTCTCAGTTACGCTATTTAACCTTCTAAAGTCGATATATAGTTGCTACTTTCTATTAGGTTTCTTTATAAATAAAATAGGTAAGGCTATTAAGCCTAATCCTAGTTAGATAAATCTCTTTTTTAAGTTCTTTTAGATGTAATCCCGCAGCTTAGCATTATACTTAGGCGCTATAGAGTATATTAGTTCTAGGCTTAACTTAGCTCCTTTATTAAGAATAATCTTATAATCCTAATCCTAATAGTCTACTAAGTCTATTACCTTATTTTCTTTAAATAGTTCTCTAAACTCGTCCGTTCAGTATTCTATTAAAATTACTAATATTAGTTCGTCTCTTATAGAGGTACCCTATAGTACTAGTGCTTCTTTTTTAGTCGCGATCTATTATATTTAAATAACTTCTACGTTCTAAGAGTTCTTTGTATAGATTCTCGCAATCTTATATAGTAATATTATACTAAATCTTCTATCCTAAGTTACGCGCTAATTTATTAGGCGTATCTTATATTATACTCTAGTTTCTTTATATATAGGCTCTTAGCTAAGTAATATCTTCTTTTACTAATTTAAAGTAAGGTTATACTTTAATAACTAGTCGTAGCTAATTATTATCTTAGTTTCTCTAAGATCTATAAAACTAATCTTTTCTTAGCTTTCTTAACTAGCTAGGCGTAACGTTACTACCTTAGTCTTAAGTTAGATTTAGCCGTTCCCGTATGTTATAGGACTATTATTAGCTAATACTACTCGTATTAGTACTTTCTTATTCTAATAGAGTGTTTTATCTCTTTCTACTACTTATAGAGATATAATAGTTTATACTACTCTACTATCTATAAGCGCTAATATCTTATTTCTATCTATAAGTACTATAGCTTTTAATTATAACTCTTTGACTCCTACTTTCTATACTTACTTAAAAATTATTTTAGAACTGCCTTTACTAGCATAACCCTATCTCTAGTAGCATCCTAGTTTTTTAACTACCTACTTCTCTTCTTCTTTAAGAAGTAGCCTTTATCTATCTTGGCAGAATAGTATATTATATACCAGTCGTTATAGTAGAAGCTCTAATAGATATTCTTATAAGGTATCTTCTATTACGTAGTCCTCTTTCTTAGTTTTAGCTTCTTACTTTTATAAATTAGGTAATCCTTTACCTTATAGATATTTACTAATAAGGTACTATAGTAGTAGTTATCTACCCGCTAAGTATCCTTAAACTATTATTAGTATATAGCCTATTCTTTCCTATAATACGTCTATAGGAGTTTACTATACTCTACTAGTATTTTCTATACTTAGGCTCTATATATTCTATAGTTCTTTACTATATATTCTTCTACAGAAATCGTGCTGTAGTAGTAGTCGTCTACTCTTTTAGCTTTCTCTCGCTATTCTTTATAGAATTAGTAATTCATTCTATACTTAATCTAGTATAACTCTTCGTAAGCTTCTTTTTCTCTAGGCTAGTGTATATAGTAATACTATATATAATACTCTTTATACTAGAAATTAGTATAGCAGTAATTATTCTTATTATCTCTAGTTTCTTCTCGCTTCCTTAAGTAGTAATTTTACTATCTTAGGTAGTTAATCTAATATAGGCGCTTATATTACTCTATCTATTCTTTAAACGTTTAAGGTGTCTTCTTATTATTAGGTTCCTTATACCTAGGTTACTCTTAGGCAGCTCTATAGGTAATTTTCTCTACTTAGAGTTTTAACATTATAACTCTTCTATTATAGTTGTAATTATTAGCTTAGTGCGTAGTTAGTCTATATATCTAGTACTATTAATTTCTTAGGCAGCGTAGTACTTCGGCCCCTTTAATCTACTAATTTATTAGTAGTAGTATATTCTACTTAAAGTTCTAGAGTCCTATTACCTCTTATACTAGCTTAAACGTCTTATTAGTAGCTTATCTTACTTCGTTGTATAGGTCTAGGTTACTAAGGGTTTTATCTAGTTTCTTAGTTAGGTATAGTATTAGTATTTAAATTATTCTAATCTTAACCGCTTCTTATCTAACTTTGTTTTCTAGGTAGTCTCTATAGAAGTATCCCGTCTTCCTATATTAGAGATATACTTTATTATTAGAACGCTTCTTACGTTCTTTTTGAGAGAGTCTGTTATTATACTTTTCTTAGAGTTTCTTATTCTTATCTTTAGACTTATTTTATACTTTACTAGTTATAATTGTATCGCTATTCTTATTAAACTAGCTATGCTGCTTCCTTATATTAGCTATCGTAGGTTTGAAATATTTCTTTTATTAGTTTCTTTTCTATAGCCTATTATTAATGCGTGTTACTAACTTAATTAGCCCGTAAAGCGTTATTAGCTTATCGTAATATATAAGTCTATCTTTAATATTTTCCTTTAGACCTACTTTAAACACCGTTTAAAGTGCTGCGTTATCCTAGTTAATTTATGCCTATAGTTACTTAAACTTAGCTATATATACTAATACTAAACTAGTCTACTTTAGGCGAGTTATCGCTTTCTCTACCTAGTTCTAAGTATCTACTTCTCTAAAGATATATCCTATCTCTTTCTTAAATTTAGCCTAGCTAGTGAATAAGGTATACGTCTTGTCCTTTGTTCCTCTATTTCTAATATCTAATAGATAGTCCTCTACGTATAGTTATATCTAGCTTAACGCTTATCCTTTTATATAGGTGCTAGCTATAAGAATCTTTTTCTAGTTATTAGGTACTTTATTAAATTTATAATATAAATTAATATTAGTAAAAAATATTTATAACTCTATACGACTTCTATCATACTTTTCTAGGGTAACTATCTTTAGTTTCTTAAGTAGTTTCTTATTTAGGGTAGCTATTAGTTAACCTATAAGTTAGTTAATCGTATTCTGTAACTTAGCTATTTACCTTACTTAGGCTTAGCTCTTACGTCTAAGATTAATAAGTTCGTACTTAGAGCTCCCTACCGCTAGCTTATTATTTCCCTCTTAGGTACTACTAGTTATATTAATATCTCTCTTAGGCACTAGGCCTAGGATATTAACGTATTCGCTTAAATTTCCTAATATAGTTTAATCTTATTCGGACGCTACTAGTTATTCCTTCTTCTACTAGATGCGTAGGTAGTTAACGTATTATACAGGGTTTAGATCTATACTTCTCTATTCTAGTCCGTACTAAGATAGGTAAGTGTAACGTTAGTGTTCTGTAAGGCTTATCTAGCGATATAGTAGAGTTAGCGTACTTAAGAAGGGTTTTTATAAGACTAATCTATTTAATAGACTAACTTATAATAATCTTATTAAGTAAAGTTACTAGTAAGAAAGTAGAATTTATGTTAACTATAATAAGAGTAAATAATAAAATTTATCTATCCTTATATCCTTATTACTTCCTATCTTAACATCTAGCTAAGCCCTTAATATCTCTAATATCGCTGGCATTCTTAGATGTTCTGGCATCTCCTAAGAGTCTAGTATCTCTAGATATCCTATCTTAGTAAGATACTAAGTCACGTAATCAGCGCCCCGCGTTAATTATTACCTTCTAACGTAGACGTCCATAGGCCTTTAGCTATCTCGTTATTTATTAAGGAGAGAATACTTCTTATTACTTATAATAGTTAACTATAACGAGAATAATAATATAATCTATCTATTCTTATAACCTTATTACTTCTAGTTCTAATATTCTATCTACCCAATCGTAGCAGGATAGTTATAATAGCACTACTATCCCTTTATATACTACTATCCTAGATATAAGCTAGTAAATAGGTAGAGTTTAGGTTATAATTAGGTTGCTAAGAGTTTAGGTATAGTTAAGGTTAGGGTCTTACATAATTAATACCCTAACCTAACCTCTACTTAAAGTCTTAGTAACCTAACTATAACCTAACCTAGCTCTTAGTAATAGAGTTAGGTAGAGTTATAGTTAGGTAAGATTAATACTAGGTTAAGGTTTAGTTATGTAGTATAGACCTTTAGTAGAATTAGGTTAGCTATCTATATTTTATAC